CAGAATTGACCCCTATCGACTTAGAAATTAAACGCATTATTTGGCAGAAAAATTTCGTCATCTTACCCCGGCGAGATTATAGCGACTCGGATGTCGACGAAATGATTAAAGTAGGTAAGATTCCCCCCAATTTGACCTTGATCGATGATGTCAAAAAATTCAGCATCGACCAATATACCCTCCCGACTTACGATTACCACCCTCCATCAGCTTGCCCCTGACGTTTACTTCGAAGATCCAGGTGATCATCCCATGTTTAGGATTTACACTGAAGGTTCCAAGATTCTCAGACACTTAGACAGCAACATTAGAATAGATTTCCAATGGGTCCCGGGTCATGTGGGGTTCTCGGCAACGAGACCGTTGACCATCTTGCCAAACAAGCTGCAAAGTCTTCAGTCACTAGTACATTCAGTTATACATTCCTACCTCGTTCGTCAACAATCACGTCAAAAAGCAAATGTTCATTCTCTGGCAAGACAGCTGGGACCGCGACACTACTGGTAGGCTCACCTACACTTTCATTTCCAAGGTTGATATTACTGCGATTCTTCGCCACTTTTATCCTAGTTACACCCTGACTCAGCTACTTACAGGACACGGCAACTTTAAACAACACTTGCATAGATATAACCTTGGGGACAATCCACAATGCGACTGTGGTATTCGGGAGGACCAAACACCACTTCACTGAGTTTCTCGCTGCAATAGGTACTGTACAATCACATTAGGAATAGTTTAACGAGATGCTATTCTTGAAGGGTACAACTGGCCTGGCAACCCGCACCAATTCATTTACACGCAATACGAATGAGAGTAGATGATGGAACATCGTACGATGTTCCATCATCTACTCTCATTCGTATCCCTTAGTGCGGCTTTTGGGAGCACTCGCTCCGGGGGCACAGATGTCAATTAGCTTTCCCTCGCTTTGTTTCAACTGTCGGTATATAGCTGCCTTTCAACTTTGTATTTTAATTATTTTCTGTCTTTTTTTTCAGTCTAAATTCGGTTAGTCCTAGTTGTAAGTTAGATTAGAGACTCAGCTTGGTTTCCGGTTAGGTTATGATAGGTTAGGTTAAATTAGATTAGGGTTTATAAGCTTTAGTCGTCTGGTTAGGTTCGTCCTAAGTTGTGGCATGTTAGTTTAGTTAGTGATTAAGATAATGTTTAAAATAAATAAACAAATAAATGTTGGGGTCTTGCTCGTTTGTCTCTGTTGGTCCGTAGTTTGCCGTTTGTTCGTTTGCTTTTCGCGCTGTCTGTTTAGCTGTTAAGTAGTATTAAGATTTTCGATCGCGTTCAGTTTTATTAGTATTACGTAGATATGTCTTCCTACTAACATCCACTTGGCACTAACTTTTACTCTTCGCTAGGCGCACTCATATTTTTGGGCTCCTGGAGGTCAAAACGTCGAGAAATGAAAAGACGGGAGTCAAAATTTGACCTCTCGCCATACTTTCCCTATGTTATATTTTATAATACAGTGCAATGAAAAAATGAGGAACCTGGTAACTTGTTACCGGGTCAAAATGTCCCGTTATTACTCCTTCCCCTTTAATAAAATGCATAAAATGTAATGAAACAAATGGACGTCCACTAAACGTTCAACCTTTCTCCTCCTCCTTGTCCGACATGTCGTTACCTTCTCATTCCCTCCCGGTACGGACGTCATTTACGGACAACCCCTCGGAAACATTCAAGTATTACGTCAGCAGTTTATGGGGAGGAGAGATTTGTTTGCGTATGACGGTTAGAGACGATGGGGGAGAGAGAGCGAGTCTTTGATGACGTAATATCCATCACAGAATTGTTTGAAAGTACAGTACCTTGTAATTCGTGTGTATTCGCTAATGGTTTAAGCTTCTAGCCTGAAGACGCAATTAGCGTATGCACGCGTCGCGTCGCGTCATACTTGATATCAAATTACTAAATAATTCATCTGTTCATTATCTTGGATTGATTAAATAACGGTTTATAAATATCTTGATCTATAATGAAACAAAAGAAATTACAGATTATTAATATTGTAAAGCATTTATTCTGCAAGCGGCGCGACGCGAAGCGAAGCGACCACGCGTGCGAAACCACCGTGATAGCGCGTACTGGTATGGAACAAATTTCCACACATCTTTATACCGATTTGGATAGTATTCGAGATCTAGAACCCCTTTATATATTTAAATTACATCAAATTTAAAGAGAATATGATTTTTTTAATTCCGAAAAGAAAAAAGAGAATTTTTAAGCAGAATATTAGTTCAAATGACTCCAAAGCGCCATTTGTATAGAGTATCCTACATATATTCAAAATTAATTGGACTTAAGCCAGTTGTGCTAAATGCCTAAGTGACATTTATGTTATTCTTATAAACCATTTTTGACGTAGACGAGTAGCCTATAATTTTACCAAACATTCGATCCTGCTTACGTAATGAGGTGTGTACGGAATCACGTGACACCGTTATGTACTGTACTACGAAGGCGCGATGGAGAAGCGGTGTATCTTTCTACGCAAGAAAAATACCTCTAGTCACGCAGAAAAGCGTATTATAGCCAAAAAAATTTTAATCGAGATAAAATTTAGGCAAGGGTTAACTGAATTTTAGGCCACATGTATATAAATTATAATACATAATATATATATAATCATATTAATGTATTATGTTTTATAATTTATATACAGGTGGTCTAAAATTCAGTTAACCCTTTGTCATACTATATATATAGCCTATATATTTTAAAAGAAGCTAAAACGAAGTATGGTTAACCGATTTTTGGGTCACCCTTTTATTACGATTAACACGGTTGTTGTGATCTAAAAATTAAGTGACAAAATTATATAATATATCGTTGTTCCCAACAAGTGTACCGCAGTCTACCAGTTGAGAATCTTGTTATAGAATTTAAAACATAATCCAATATCAACTAGGGTGCTGCGGTATACCGGTTGAGCCCGTATCATCATATTTTTCTATATTATAATATACATTGTATTCGCTATTATAATTTATCCTTTAAGGAATAAAACAAAATTTTTATTATTTATTAAATGTTAAAAATAAATACAGTAATATAAATTTTAAAAATAGTAGTAGAGAAAAGGGTGGCCCAAAAATCAGTTAACTGTGTTTTGTACCGTTTTCATGTTTTCATTTTGACGGAATTGTGGAAACACGAGTAAAAAAATAATAATAGTAATAAAATTAATTGTATTTTTAGGTTAATTTACTGTATATAATGTACGGGCGACTCCCTATAACACCGTTGATTATTTCGTTTTATATGAATTCCATGTTGTACGAGTCACTTAGATTTTACAAATACGAGAGACTTTCACAGCCCGGCACACGTATTTGTAAAATTTAAGTGACTCGTACAACATGGAGTTCATATAAAACGGAATTATCAACAGTGTTATAGGGGCGGGGAGTCGACTGTAATATACGGTATTAGTATACAGTACACTGCTCTGTTGTATTATTATATGTTACAGTGTGTAAAGTACAATAAAGTAGAACAATATATGAAAAAAATAGTGCAATTAGTACTTGTAATAATGATACAATTATGCTATTGTTATTATTAATAGTACTGTCGCGCTATTAATATAAAAATTATTAATTATAATTATAAAATAAATCTTAAACAACACCTTAAATCCTCTCTCTTTTCAGCAAGACTTTAATTTATTTATTTTTTATATTTTCTTCTATCTGCTTCGACAATATCACACTGTTTTTTGTACTACTGTTGTACTGAATTACAATTTATTTCTAGAAGAAGAGCTTCTGTAATGCCTCGTTTCTTTAATTATTTAAATTAATTAAAATCTTGTTAGCATTCTGAATATTTTTTAGTGTCAAAATAATGCATTATTCACATTTAAAATTGATTTTTAACTTTGAAAGTCTTTATTTTTATCCACTTATTGATTAAGTACACATTCGTGTTGGTTATAAACCTGGATTTTTATAGAATATTTTAATTATTCCTGCATAAAAATGATAAAATATATTACAGAATACGCGAGAACAATTTTAATAAATTAATTATTTAAGTATAAGTTTTGTCTGGCTGTCACGCTGTAAACATCAATAAAGAATATATTATTTTATAAATAATTTTACCTAAAAGATTTGTATAAGAAACTAGAATTTTGAAAGCCACAATCAATATATTTTTATTATTTTAATTTACACGTTGTTTGAAAGAGTAGAAGTCAATAAAATAGTGTAAATAACATACACAAAGACACAATAAAAAAATACCAAATTTGAATTGTTTTTCATTTATAGACCGTGACTGACAGACAGGCACGCCTTTCTTGAAACCAGACACACAAGTAATTTATTTATTGTAATTATTCCTACGTATTCTGTAATATGTTTTTATTGTTTTTATACAGAAAAAAATGGAAATATTTTGTAAAAATACAGTAAAAAATAAGCATTATTGACTTATGTATAATCAATAAATGGATAAAAATAAGGATTTTTAAGGTTAAAAGTCGATTCTAAATCTATATAGTGAGATTTTTTTTAATTAAAAGTATTCTAATTAATGTGAATAATTGAAGAAATGATGTAAAAATTCAAATTTTTCTAATCAAAAATTGCATAAACACAATTAGTAAAAGTGCAATTGTAATATTAATTATTATACTTAATATTGTTAATTAAAACTCTGTCATGCTGTTAAATTATTGTATATCAATTAATTAAATTGAGTTATATTCCAGTGATAATAATTTTCACGAAATAGTTAATATAGAATCAAGTATTTCGTGAAGATTTCTTCCCCCAAAGAAAAAAGATTGGAGACGTACATTAAAAATTTATTAATGACGTTTCGTGCCCGGATGCTGACGATTATTCCAAGGTGACTTTCTTCGTGACGTCAAGAAATAAAAGTATAATTAGAAAGGGTAGAGGTAGAGATTTTTCGATGCTGTCGAATGTTTTTGATACATTTTTTTAAATTAAAAGAAACGTGAGAAATTCGATTAAACAACGTTTTATTTACATTGTTTTGTGAATAATGATTACAAAATACTGTACACCACATACAAACACGAGACAAAATGAGTTTTTACAGATGAGAATTGTCTTTACGAATGGATACTAAAAGATGAATTGTAATCTCGAGATACACATTTAAACACCAAAAAAAAATGCTATTTACAATTTAGAAATGTCAATTTTTAGACAGTCTTCGACTGCTTCGGTGCCTTTTTACTCGACTTGCTGCCTTTCTTCATGGCTTTTTTGGGTTTGGGTGCCTTAGCCTTAACCGGGTTCTTCTTAGCTTTGACTTTGCTCACCTTTTTGACTTTGGCAACAACTTTGGTTTTCGGTTTGGCCACTTTTTTGCTCTTCTCCAACTTGGGTTTCGGTTTGACCACTTTCTTAGCCACGATTTTGATCTTGGGAGCGTGTTTGGCTTCGCTCTTCTTGCCAGAAACGGATATTTTAAACGAACCGCTAGCACCCTTTCCCTTAGTTTGTATAAGAGAGCCATCACTTACGGCCAGCTTCAGATGCTTCTTGATGAAAGGTGCCAGTTTCTCCACATCCACTTGGTAAGTCGATGCGATGTATTTCTTGATGGCTTGCAACGACGAGCCTCCTCGATCTTTCAGCTCTACGATGGCTGCGTTGATCATTTGTGAAATCTTTGGGTGGTTGGGTTTAGTCTTTGGAGATTTACGGCGTGCAATCTTCTTCTTAGGTGAAGGCGCAGGAGCGGTCTCGGTTACTACGGCTTCCGACATGGTGAGAGAGTACAGCGATACGACTTGTTATCAGTGACGACACAGCAGAACTGCGCTGGTGCCGGTTGCTCGGCCTTATATATAGTGTGCTGGCGAACCTCCGGGAGAGCCGAAAACACGATATCTACGCCGTGGCTTCGCTTCTACCTGTCAACTTGTGCTTTTAGTTAACGTTCAAAGCACGATTTGTTAATTAAACTTGAAAATTATCGAAGAATTAATTATTTTATCGCAAAGTTCTTAGTTTGTTCTATAAGAAAACACTCGATCGATCGTCATTGCAGGGATTCTCCATACAAAAATTAAATGCGAAAATGATCTTGTCCACGTCACTAATGTAGCCACTCGGAATTAATCGTTTGTTTTTGTTAATAATTAACTAAATTTTTGAAAAATTTCGATTTTAAAATATTCTTTATCTCAAAATGTTTAATAAAAACTAAAATTGTTAACTTATAACTCATTTAAACACGTTTAAACGAAGCGAGAAGTGCGACGTTGCAGCACAAACTCCTATCCCAATTCATCTATACGTTCGCTTCTATTAATATTTTTAATGCTGTTTTATTTTAAAAATTAAACTTTTTTGATTTAAACAGTTTGATATCGCTAAAAATACTCATTTATTTATAAATTTGACTATTTCTAAATTAAATTTTACAGCGATTAATGTCGACTTCCCCTTAACTTCTATGCATGTTCCCCTTATTTCTAATATTCACTCGACATTAAATAATCCAAATATTCTTTTCGTATATATTTTAACATTATTTGGTATATAAAAAGTTATAAAAATGTATTTTATATCCTAAAATAACCACGTGATTTAGCATTGTCTTCTATGTACTGTACTTCGGTATTCAAAATGGCGGCTTCATTTATAACTATTTAACTTTATTCTTGTTTTTAAATTATTGATTTAATGATGTTCCTATATATTTTAAAAGAAGCTAAAACGAAGTATGGTTAACCGATTTTTGGGTCACCCTTTTATTACGATTAACACGGTTGTTGTGATCTAAAAACTTAATTTTTTTTCTTAAATTATATAAGTTATTTATACAAATTTCGTTAATTTTAGCGGAATTTTCAGACGTGGATAACGGAAAATATTCCTAATTTTTTAATATTAAGTTTCGAGTGAGGTGCGAAATAAATTAAAAAAAAAAAAAATTAAGATAATCTCGAAGCGCCATACGACGGTCATCTGCGATTATTTGACGTAAAAGTGACGATTATGTAAATTAGAAGAGTCACGTGATTAAATGCAAGGCGAATATAGTCACGTGACTTTTCAAGTCTAACTACTAAAAGCCTTAAAAGCCACCGCGATGTTAATTAAGAGGTAAAATTATGTGTTTAGATGCGCACAAATTGCTGATAAACATAAAAACTATACTTTTATAACGTTATATATCCGATATATCGTTAAATTCACTTAATAAAAGTTAATAATAATTTTTCCCCTTTCGTTAATAATTAGAATTCGTTGACAAATTCAAAATTTTAAAAGCCTAATGACTAGCAAATCAGAGCTACGCGTAAATTGCTTCAGTTATTACGTCATACTCGATATTCGAATGTGATTGGGAGAAATAGATATATATCTACGACGTCATCGATGATAAGTTTTCAAATCTCCTCTCACAGTAGTTGTTATATTAATTAATTAACTCCTACTCCAGAATCAAATGAACAGCCATTCCGACCAAGTAAATAAATATAAATGGCATTAAAATTATATGATTTCATTTCGATTATCCGGTTTAGTCCGGTTTTATTATACAGTAAAACCTGTATAAGCCGGAATCTCACGAGATTTGCATTTAATTCCGTTATAAACAGGTTTTACTGTAGTACTTTGGCACGCAGAATCCAAAAGGTTATCTCTGATCTAGATAAGTTACTATTAATTAACTGTGATGTAAGAGGTTTCTAACATTTGTGACGTTAAATACTATTAGATTGTGATGTCACATCTCGAGAGACCATCGGTGTTTATGACGTTACGAATTAAAACATTGTTTATATCCCGTAAACACGGATATATTGATTAGATTAGTATAATTATTATCGTTTTTTCTCTGTGTTTTTTTACTGTATTAAGTAGTAGTAACGTTTTTGATGGCGATTTTTTATCTTCTTTAAAAATATTTTAGTGTAATATAAGTTAAAACGTTAATGCGGATTGATACTAGGACCGTCCTCCTCTCCACCGGCGGTCACCATAGCAACAAAATGTCGATAATGGATGGGACGGATGAGACTGTAACGTTTAACCAGTCAAAGTTTTCGACGGACGTCTCGAAAAAATTGACCAATCGCAACTAACGAGTGTCCTTCTTTTGTTTACTTAGTTTGAGACGTGAAATCGTCTAGTAACTGTAATATCTTGCCTGAGACAAAATGGAAAGCATATATTAATCAAAGAGTTGAGGCATTGCGTGCGACAATGTATCTCATTGGTCGGGATTTATGCCCATTGAGGACTGGACTGCTTAGTGTTGCGCCTAACTCAGACTGCCCGTGTGAATCCACCCTTACAGTGCCAATTATTATATTGGATTTTTGCTTTAAAACTTTAAATGATTTGCAATGAAAGAAATGGTAAAAAATTGATTTTTCTCCTATCTTATAATTAATTTCTATTATTGATTAATTTTATTTTAATTCATTTAATATCATTAATTAAACTAGAAATTATTTATTTATATTTGAAACGAAAATAATGGAAAATTTTTCGTAAAGAAAACGTAATGATTGAGAACAAAAGTCAACTTTTCCTCCTCCAATAAATTTCTTTTGGAACGAGAAAAAGCATTAATGCCGACGTCATATTCTAATTAAGCGTTTGTGACGTCATATAGAAACATTTTTCTCGAAGACACTTCGATGTGTTCCTCTTAAATGTCCAAGTGCTCAATACAGGAAATCCTCGTTAATTCGAAATCCCGTTTGTTCGTATCTGTCCCGTCTAAGAATACGGAGATTTACACGTTAAGGAATTCGATTAGTTCGAAATTCGAATTAAAATTCCGTCCGAACTGCGATATGCGTAGGTTAACTCGTTGGCTTAGATCGAAGTGCCTCCATGCTGTAAGAGAACAACCCTAATCTGGTCGATACGTCTTTGCCTTTACAGCAACACATTTTCGGATGTCACCTTACGTATGAACTATCATAAAACATGGGATTGAAAGATTGAGCTGCGATTGGATAGAAGATTGACATATTTGTAGGCTTCTGGTCTGCTACATTTCGAGGAATTCTGCCTTACTGTTTATCCATACTTTTCATTTCATTTAAGAATTCTTCTTTTCTTTTTCGATCAAAAAATTACGTTTCGCAAAATTTCGCGCTCGTCATTTTAATTTTAATGTTTTTTGATAAAAATTTCAATCTTTAATTAACACGATATTGAACTTATTTAAATGAATGAAAAAACGTCAGAACTGCTGAAAGTTTGTTTGTTTAGTTAGTTATGGCAACGCAACAGTTTGGCCATCTGCCTAGGAGATGCTTCCGGGAGGTCTTCTTTGGGGGAAACTGGCCCCTATTTAGGCGTTACAGAGGACCCGGACAACTCCACGTGGCCAGCCCGTCCGAGCGAGGCGCGAACCTACGACCGAACTCCTAGTGTTTAGGGGAACTAAGACCGCTTGGTCACTGGTGGGCCGGGGTAGTGAAAGACGGGAACCAACATATTCGAACGGACCACCCCTGTAAAATTTTGGGGATTTTTCGACCTCGTCCGGATTCGATCTACTAGTCACTACAGCAGTAGGCTGCCACCTTGACCGCTCGGCCATCCGGCCGTCCAAAAGATACTGTTTAAAGATGATGTTGGAAAATTAAACCCTCTCCACTTGCTCCAAATAATAATTTGAAATATATTTAAAGGAGGATTATTTTCAAATTTATCTTTCCATTTATTTTTCTATGGAGAATCCACATGCGACATTTTAAATCGTACGATATCGATCACATAATAACTACAATTAACCCGACAATTATTTCAAATACCAAACGAACAGCCGGATTGTTTATCGAGCCATCAGGCTAAATAATTACTAAGTAATTTGGTAGGCCGCCAGGCCACCGTTTCTTGTTAAATATGTTAATGATTCGAATATTCTACAGGAATATTCCAAAATTAAACGAAATTTATTTACTTATTTATAAGCATTATATTTAACAAGAAATAGTGGCCTGGCCACCGAGGCAGTCGGCCTCCTGCCAGGTAAGGGGTCGTCCATAAATGATGTCATGCTATTTTTGGAGAAGATTAACCCAAATTTGCATTAAACCAATTCCCTTGTCACACGTCGTATTTTTCAAACCCCTCTTTAAAATGATGTCACACGAGTCGTACTTAGGGTTGCCACCTCAGAACTTAGTCTCGCCCGGAGACAACGATTTAAGAAACAAAAAAAACCCATATGCACACATATACAGTTTTTTTATTTATATAATTCCCATAAAAATAATTAAGTGTTAATCGTGCGTCATTAAAGGTTGATTAAAATCGCGATAAATTTTTTTCGCGCGGGTAAAAATTTTTGAATTAAAAAACATAATATATATATATCAAATATCAAATCAAATATCAAATATATGATATATATTTCATATTTGATTAAAATATATATATATATATATATATATACAGTG